GGCTTGATAGCATGTCATAAAAAATGACTTAAATAGAAGAATTCAAAAAAAAAGAAAGCATGCTGACATCCAGAGTCTGTATCCAGAGATGTCTGAAGGCTGGAGACACACCAAAAAGAAACAAGTTAACATGTTCAGCACTTATTTAGATACTTAGCTGTAGAGCTCCAAGTACAGCAAGTCCTTCTCAACTGAAAGCTCGTAACTCTAATTCAGCTGTTCCAGAAGAGTCACAAGAAAGGACACCCACACAAGATTTCCTACAGAGGCGTGGTTTCTAGAAGGAAACCTATAATACACCTCGAGTTCTTTCTTGCCTTTACTGCTTCTAAGACAGTGCTCAAAACCTTTCAACATGAGCAGGCCTTCTACTACCCCCCCCTCAAACTTTATCTGCATGTTTCCAGCGGCATCATCCTTAAGTCATTTTTCTCATATGAGACTTACACTTAAATGTCTGCAAGCAGGAAGCATTCACAAATCAGTCACAGGTCTTTCAAATCTTTTTCATCAGTCTGGACTTAATCGCATAAAAGATTCTCCAACCCTGACTGGAATTTTTCTGACCTGCCTCAGCTGTTACCAGAATGACTGTGCTCCCATCTCTACATGAAGGCAGCTGCTGCTGGAACCTCCATCACCATATAAACTAGGAAATAACCTCAGATCACTTACCAGTTTCTGAAAAAGCTCTGAGCTCCAAGTTCCACATCCATTTCTGATGCAGTTATTTATGTGCACATTTTTCAGTCTTCCTTCCTCATCATACTCATTAGGTATCTTTATAACAGTGAGAAAAAACCACAGTTGGGGGCAGGTTATGCCTAGATTCTCTTGCCTCCACTCTATGCTCACTTGCGTATAGCATGCTTAGAATACTGAAGTACAACCATTCCTCTTCTGTTTGGCCAATTTCATAGCCACACTCTTCCAGTTAAAGCAGTACTTCAGTTTTAATGAACACTTTTACAAAGAAATTCTAATAAAGTCCTGGAAGAAGGGTGCTATTACACCAAAGTTAATGCAGAATTGTGTAGTCAAAGCTTTGAAAACAAGTTTGTCTACCAGTCGTCATTAGTGACATTCTTCGGGAGAAGCCAAGCTCAAGTGGTCATCTGCAACTTTACCACCCCTACCCTCCAGAGAGTTGCATGTTCGTACAGGCTAACGTGACTGACAGCGATAGCCAATGTAATCATAAAGCAGCTAACACTTCTCAGTTGCTGGTCTTATTAGATCAGATCAAAAGTTTTTATAATACAGAAAGTCCTTAAAGTGTTCTTTCAGTGGTAGTTGTCCAAGTTTCAACATGTTATATTCACCTCCTACACTACGTTGTGGTCAGGGCAGTATACTCACTAAAACAGCATGCTTGTCAAGTAGGAATCTCTAGCATATTGAAATAGACTTTAAAAGCACTTCCCTATCATCAAGATTCCTTTGTTTTGTATCTCTTTACCACAACGACTCATTCCTATCTCCTATTCATTTTGCCGATAATTTATGTCCTTTGATCAAAAGGGTTAACCTGGTTCTAACACTTTCAGAATTTACCCAGGAAAAGAGATTTATCGTAACTCCATGTCAAGATAAAAAAACAAGATTAATGCCTAAGGGCAGCTAAGGTTTAGAGGTTTTGCTCCTGTATGAAAATGCATGTAATCTGTTCAGCTTCTTTCAGAATACTTCATGCTGCAACCGAGATAATTTGACAGTGACTGATCAGTCTTACTCCCAAGCTTTTTAATCTCCATTATTCAAGAAGTTACAACTTGTGTCTAAAAACTAAAATGACTGAGTATTTCTGGAATATACAAGTCTAGGCACAACTGTACCCTTCTTACCCTTTCACTATTTCACACCCCTTCTCCTTTGATCCTGCTGCAGGAATTTGCATTTCTTTGTGCCTTCCAACAGGAAGGCTATTTTCACCAGAAAAATAGCATAGGCCATGTAACACTGTCATGCTCTATTGGATAGAATTATCTAATCACTAAAAAAACTCAGCTAGCACAAGAAATTGAAGTTACTTGAGAACCTGCTGCATTGCAATACACAGCACAACATTCATCAGTTTGGCTACAGTCACACCAGAAACCAGCACAGTATCTGCATCATAATCTTCAGCTGATGACTGAACTACATGGTTAGTTCTTATCATTGATTTAGGTACAGAACCTTAGACTGCAGCACCCAGCTCTTTGACGAAAGCCTTTTATGATAAACTGCTAAGTAGAAGCTTTGATCTAGTGAAAAATAACATGCCTTACTATGCTTAAAGGTTAGACTTGAATTCAGAAGCCTTTTTAAATGCATCAAAATCAATTCAGAATGCCAGCACCATGTTGCTTGCAGGGAAGTCACATGTAACATTACTTACCATAAGATTTAGATCTCTTCAAGAGATCTAAAGCTGTTTGCACACACCAGCAGACAAAATTATCTACATGAGCTGTTGAAAGCCAGAAGACAGTTGGGCTGATGAGTTAAAAGGGAATGACTATCACATGCTCAGATACTTTGTTACACATTTTATTAAAGCGCTTTAGGGAATATGCGCTATGACTATAGAGAAGACATCTTCAACCTGGTTTTCTAACTAATAATTTCTATACAAACCTTTTAACATACTCAGGCATTTGGAAGTATTCATGAGTATAGACGTAGAAAGCTGTAGAACACACTCCCAGGTCAAGGACTTCAGCAATTTTAAGACCATGAAACAACCCTTATGGATTCTAAAATCCCTTTTATTTTAATGATTAACTCTTAACTGAGATGTCAAGTTCTATAGGAGTCTGAACTGTTACTCTCAGACTGGCTAAGCACAGACCAATCAAATATCGCTAAGACTACTTCTCTTCTTAGTCTTGTTTTTTGATGGGGAAAGGACCCCCAGCCCCTTGGAAACAGAATAGCCTGAACTACCAGATTAGACATGAGAGTTTGGAGTGCAAATTGCAAAACAGTTGTATTTTCCTTTTTAACTTTTGCTAGTGAAAGACTAGTCAGGAGTTTCATACAAAACTATGCACCACATTGTAATATAGGAAAAATTTTGCCTATTTAGTTTAGTAGTACATCATTTGCATTAGATCTAGAAGTGTTAAGAATAGTATACAGACATTTCAGTTACAGGAAAAAAATTATTCTTCAATCTATCAGCAATATTAGCACAAGCCTCCAGGGATTTGTCAGCAGCTCTTCACTTAGCAGTGTCCAAGACAGACTAAGGGCAATAATCAAGTGTGAAAAATACTGTCTTCTAGATCTTGAAATTAATGCATGGGTATATTGACAGGACTTCCCATAATATAAATAGGTCCTGTCCAAACTTTGTTATAAGTTACAGCTAAGTTTCTGCTTAGCCTGTTGAAACAGATTGCTTTGGCAAAGCGCACAGCCTACCTCAGCCTCAGAAACCAAGGGCTGAGGAGAAGTTAAACGCAAGTGTGGCAGCCTGCCAAACCCCAGGATCCTGATAGTCTCCCCTCTTTAATCTTTGGAACTCCAGACTTGCTAAAATACATCCAGAGTGTTGTAGCAGCTTGCACCAATACTGCCAATTGATTTAAAGAAAGTTAAAACTGATCTGTAAAAAGAACGCATCAGAAGAGAAAGCTTGCCAACATTTTACTTGCTCTCCAAAACAGCAATTAGAAAACATTTTATTTTGCCCTACGGGCCAGCAGCAGAAAGATCTATGGCGTGTTTCAGCATATGGCAGTAGGAAGCAGGCTTTTTACTCGAGAAATCATATTTGAAGTGTTTTAAGATAATCTTTAGAGCAGAAAGACCAGAAGCTGATGTTCAGCTGGTTTGTCACAGGGTTACAGCAGCCACATGTTACGCTTCCTCTTTTCTGAGCTTCCACTCGATAAAGCTAGAGTTCATGGAAACAGCAACTACCAGTTGTTACCCTAGTACCTTCCAGTAATGTAAGTTTAAACACAAGCACTTGAAATAAAGTCTACTTTTTCATATGCAAGGAGATATTCTGAACATGGTGGAGAGGGATGAAGAGAGCTGCAGGTTAATACCTGGGCTGCACACAAAACTAGAAATGCAATACCAACTTGAGATGACTAAAGAGCTGAGGGGACAGACTTCTTACAAGACCACAGCAAAACAGAGTTTGTTCTGTGGCATTTAACACTGCAGCATAAACAAAGTTAACCATGATAGGCATACAGTTGGAGTCTTTAAGACAGAGGTGTTAAAGAACAGTTTTGAACCATACATAGGAAAGGAATGACCGTGTAGTTTGGACAAGTGAACAGGGCTTTTCTGCTTCCATGTGCTCAAAGTACCTTTTTGATACACAAACCCATGATTTGAATATAGAACTAAGTGTAACACAAGTCCCATTCCCTCACACCACTTTGCAGGGACACAAGTTACTTTTAAATTAAGTAGGTGACTCCAAGCATGCAACATTTGAGCATACTTCCTTTGAGGACAATTTTAGCTATTTGAGTTACCTTTAAGCTAAAAAGTGTGTTTACTAAACATAACCTACTTGGAAAAGTTATTTATTTCCTCTAGAAGTGTTATGGAGCCATAACCATGAATGAATGTAAGCAGTAGTCATAGCCAAGGCCACAAGTGCTCGGGCAAGTGGGTCAGGAAGAGCAGTACGAGTGGGAACCCTCCGGGAGCCCTGGAGCCAGCAAGAAGAGTAAAGCAGCTTTTTGAGGACTGCTGTAAAACCCTCGGCCAAGCCGAGAGCCCCACAACATCACCTAACAGGAGCACACACAGCCTATAAAACATAAAAACCTTCAATCCCACATCGAAACCTCCCTCTACTTATGCCTCAAACACAGACAAGAGGGGTTGCAGGTAATAGGCGGAAGGAGAAAAACAAGAAGACGGACTTGACAGTCAAAATACACTTTCCTCCGCAGAGACCGGGCCCCGGGCCACCAGACAGCCAGGTTCGCAGACCTCTGCCCGCTCGGGGCTCACCCTGCAGAGAGACGCCCGCCCCCGGCCCTCACCTGCTATATCCCAGAGCTGCAGCCGCACCAGGGTCTTGCTGTCCCAGTTGATGACTTTGAGCGCGAAATCCACCCCGATAGTGGCCCGGTAGTGCTGGGAGAAGAGCTGGTGCACGTACCGCTTGATAATGCTGGTTTTACCCACGCCCAGCTCCCCGATCACCAGCACCTTGAAGA